TTAGCTCGTATGGTTCTGCATTTGGATACAAAATCCACATTGTTTAGTCAATGATACACAGCAGTCAAACTAGTTGATGTTTGGCTTATACCAGGAAATATGACAGACATTTTTAACATCAAAATGGCCATTTCTACTATCTAATGAAGATGTCGATTCTGATAAAATTAAGTTCTGTTCGAATAATTAGAAACACGGAATACAGTTCCGATTATGTAATGTTATACGTATGTCATTAAAGTGCAATTGAATTGACCAGAATGTTTTTTTTACAGAAACTCTAGAGTGCGACCTATTCTACTGATAATTCTCAAGGATATTATCTGTTCAGGTTGTCAGTCATTGAGCAGCATAGTTTTAGGACATACCAGATAAAAATAAAGAATGCATTATAATGAAAGTAAAACATTTTCAATACGATTCGGCCTGAAGGTATCGGAATATTATGTACATGCTACTAAAATATGTAAATTACAACTTGATTTCATTTTAAATTATGTGTTGTATACAAGGTAAGCGTTTATGAAATCAGAATGTAATAAGAATTTAACATTTGGATCAATCTACGCTAATTTAAGTACATATCAGAAACTTAAACATATCAACACAAAGGGTCGGCATCGGTCATCTTCACCCGGATGTTCCATCAATCATGATCAAATAGTTTACATTATACTGCAGAAACGAACACATAATATCCCATTTCAGGCCACTGCCTGCAAGGAGCAACACGAGGATATGAATTACATGGATACAATGGGTCAAATTGAAACAGATTGGTCATATCTTATAGATAAACTTTTGCTGGGTCCAAACACACTTAAATGAAGCATATGTCAAGCTAGGTGATTGCAAAAAGAAATTATTATTTATATAGAATAGGCGAACTGTGTAAATATATACTATTTTCTCTCTCGTAATATTTTTACATAAAACTGTTGAAAACATAAATCGTGTACCAACAATTGTTCCCTAACATTTATTTATGTTTATATAATTCCAACCTCCGATGTCTGTAAAGCTGAAGCTGAAGTATTTAGCTGAATGACCACACACTATTTTGTTCATATACCATTTCTTTGTTTCTAAATATCTAACAAACACAGAGTTCATGTCATTCGAGGGTACATATTGTCGATCCAGATCACTGTCTGTGCTTTCACTGTGCTTTGTACGCTAAACTGATCTAACACATCTGTCAGCTGGTACACACAGTCCAAGTCATCTGAATTCATATCGTCGACAGACTCTAGTGGTTGGCCAGCGATGTTGATGAGCTCCTGTGGCAGAACATCTCCTTTGTACCACAGTGGCTCCAGCTTTCCATCTTCGACTTCCCATCCATGGTCAACCTTCACATCTGGAATATCCGGTTCGGCGATGTGGGCCCTCTTCCAGATTCCAACCTGATAATTGACACGTCTTACGTGCTGCTCCAAACTTCTATAAGGGGGAAGTGATCCCAGGTCGACATTCTTTGATGGGTGGGGTCTGATCTTCTTTGGCACACACCTCCTGTGTGTGGATGTCTCGCAGCTCATTAATCTTGTACACTCTAGCACGACCATGTATGGCAAACGTAAATTCGTCCAGTTCGCCAACCTTCAGCAGCAAACTTTGGACTTTTCTGGAGAGTTTTCAGTGGCTTGATCTTTCCTATTCCTTTGAATGTGCTGGTAGTGTCACATCTGGCGTATGCATGGAGACACATGAGTGCTGTACAGTGGTTCTGTGTATAGCCCTCTGCCAGTTCGGTGATGTTGATCAGTTGATCACATTTCCAGTGTCAAATAGAATCACTACATTTGACAATGTGAGGGCGTAGTGCTGAAAGATGACGAAAACATCACTGTTTGACTTTTGATCCGAATTTACTCGTATCCCATGTCCTTTTCACACATGCGTTTCAAAACTAATCCTAAATCAGTTTCCTCTTGGAATGAGCTTATAATTTCACATTTAGAGAAGGAACCGATGAACTATGTTCTGTAAAATTATATTACGAGATGCAACTTATAAATCATTTCTAGATTTATTCTGCATAATTTACATTTATCAAATTGATCTTTTCATTATAAACCATCACCCATTTCGTTATATAAAATGTGCTTTTATTAGCTTGAAAATCTCTCTAAATACGTTCGTGTTTAATAAATTAACTTGACAGACTTGACAATGGTGATAGCGAGAATTTCAGCTTGCCTATGAAGATTTTTTCTCTACGATATTGTTTGTTCAGGTGTGATAATTAGGTGCTCGATATATATAATGAATTGTTTTATTAAAAGGTTCGGGAAATCCTTTGGCCGAGAACAGTTTTGTAAACGTGGATACAATAATTATACAACCCTAAATAAGCGTAAATAACAATACGAATGGGGTATTATCGAAAAAGTTCGAAATCTTTCATGTTCTAAGTCATAAGGCCATGCCAATTTCATGAGACGTATGTGTAATACAACTGAATAAGTGAAATAATAATAAAGGATTTCGTTCTTTGTGACCTTATATAATTGCCCAGTAGTGAAGAAAGTACTGTCTGCCCTACAGGGAAAATTAGTTTCCTAATCGTTTTTACACTAACATTAGAAACACGGGTTTTATGATAAACATAATATTACACATCGTTGACATCCCTTAAATAACCTGAGATGTCACTCGCCTGAAGGCTCGTTACGTTTTAAATAATTTAACTCTTTGATGAAATTCCTTATTACATCAGAACTCATGTAATATAGTCCTTTTTGAAGGAACATGAAAGTATTACGGTCATTAATCATATTTAATTATCTTCTTTTCTATATGTGCATAGTGTATACTGAAACGCAATAGATTTTCGCTCTCTTAACAGTTCTACTTCTATTTAATGTCATTCTTTTGCCATTATTTTGAAACGTTCTCAGTTCAATAGTCTTCAATCAATGATTCAGCATAAAGTTCGCCCTTTTTCTCGTGGTTATCCTACCTCTAGCAATGTCAGCTCCCCAGCAAAAGGTTGTAGACGCAGATATGAACAGTATTTGTAAGTTCATGATTAATAATTTGTATATATGTTTTTTTTCTTGTCTCCCCAGGTCTTGTTTTTATTTTTGTTTTGTTTTTTTTATTTTGCGTTAGCCTTTGTGATTTGTTCTCTTAATGTAGAAACTATGTCATATGTATTATTGTATTTTCAATTTGTGAAATCGTTATAATGAAATATACTTCATGACACTTGTACTTCAAAATGACCTTTAACATTCGTTCGAAAAGATATACCGTCCAAGAGTATTGATTAAGTTTTGTTTCGAGAAACTGAAAATAAATAGAGGACACATCGTTATAAAAAAATTGGATTTAAGTGTATTACTTTTAAATGCATCAGCGCAATCCTATCGCTAAACTACTGTTTTTGTGTCTCTCAGGAAGCCAGGAAAAGGACTGTTGTGTACTCTTGCTAATATACTATATATATATAGTATAAATCCTTCAATATTTATATTTCTACATATACTGATAAACTATGTTATCATTCAGTAGAGCGTTGTGTATGCTATAGTTATGTTCTTGAAAAAAACTACTACGCTACTTATTGGTTTGAATGACATTCGACGGGCCTTATATCAAAATTAAAACATTTCTTTCTGTACTACATGTATGGCATGTAACACGCTTGTTGACACACAATTCTCAACTGGAGCTCTAAACACCATTTCTCACACCGCTTGTCCTCTTTGTTGTCATTTGTAAGTATTCATTTAGATTTTACAATCCCCAAATGTAAATTTGCTTTCTTCTAAGGAACATTAAAGTTACCAAAAGTTATCTATTGTCTTATAGCAAACTTGATATCAATGGACTAAACGTAACAAACTTAAAGACACAGTTCTCCACTGGAGTATTGAATATCCTTTCAAACCGCTTGCCTCCTGTGTTGCCATTCGATCGCATCGACTTTTTTATAACTTTAAGAAAATATATAAATTTCAGATATGCAACATTTGATAGGAGAACATTCTAATATATGAAAACATAAGGAAAATTTGGCATTGTTTGTTGATCTTTTATTGTAAATGTATATCAATATTTGACGTTTTACGGATAATTCTGTAAATTTTGTGATAAAAAGTTATATATTTTACGCTATCTGTCTCGTACAGGGTGTAAATGTCATTTTACCCTTGAGCGTTTACAAACATAAAACATTGATATTGTTCTAATAATTGAGACATAACGAAACAGAAGAGAACATATGACGAATCTAGGAACTCCAAGTCAGGAAAAAAATATAATTTCGACTGACAATATCTCTTTTGATATTAATTATTAATACTTTTCAAATTACTGTACCTTCGAAAACAAACTTACCAGTTGTGTAAAATAACCGTTTTCGTAAACATGAACCGTAATGCTAGAGAAGTCAAGATATTATCATAACCGGATCTTGAATTCATTACATTATGAAAAACATGGAATTGTAACTTGGTGTTAGTAGCCAAATGATGGTCTGCCTTATAATGAACGGTACAACATTAAGATCTCATCTTGATAGCTTACAGCCGGTAAATTAACCATTATTGATCACTAACGGTGTCTTTATGCAACGGAAAATTCCTTCCCAAAACATTACCGATCCACTTTTAAATCTGTAGTGATCTGCAACGCCGATACACACACTGACGACCATCTGATCTAAATAACGCAAATCGAGAAATATCCACGAAGAGAATGGACCTCCATCGTCTCTTAGTTGCCTCCTTAGAATCAAAAATGAACCCTAAACATCACTGAAGAGTCCTTGAAGGGCGAATGCGCCATTTGATGCAGTTTAATTTATTGTTGCAATCTACTGCATCTAATTCGTGGTCACCTGTGTGTCTTTTGTGCGACCTATAGAAACGAAGATACTAGCATAGTAAGTACGAGTATTCCTCACCCATTGTCATGCGCAGCAATATTAAATCCAAAACACACACAAAAAAACTTTTTTTTGTAGTTGAACACATGAAATAATACCGTAATTTAGGATTTCGTTTTTTATTAGGATGGCAAAATGTTCATATTCTTCTAAGGTTTATAGCACCTTTCTTTTAAGCAGAGGAACCTGGTGCAGGTGTCGGGATATGGAAAAAGTGGACGAGTTCTTGTAGCCTGTGAACGAAATATATTATTAGCATAATTAGCCTAAACTGACAACATAAACATATGCGGTTGTTTAATGGGTCGATACATTTATCTAAACTTCCAATGTCTTTCTATTGTATTAACTAGGAAAATGAAATATGCCTAGTCAAAAATGTTAGCTGCTATTGACTCCATAGCGACCAGGCTTGATGCTTGGATTAAGATGACCACAAACAATTTTAAAAGGAAAAGAAAGCGAAAAAAAAATTAATTCTGATAGATTAACTGTTTTACTATTTGAGCCATCGATATTCCGACCAATTCATGAATATAGCAAATCAATTCCATTAATACAGAAGAAACTGTGGCTGGGTTCAAGGACTCTTTACCTAATGAAACAGATCAGCTAAAGCCTTAGACAAACGTTTAAGAGTTTCTCCAAATAGAACATCTGCTGGTTGGCCATTATAAGGACAGATTCTACACTGCGATCAGATCATTACACATCAGTGTAATGACACTGTAGTATTGTTCTATTTTCGAGGATATCATTTCGCTGTTTCTTAAGGACGGAAGAAGTATTTGAACTTATAATTGATGAAGATAACACAAATCCCTATCATAACCTCCTTGACATGTATATTTCTACAAGCTTCATTAACATAGCCAAAATTTGACAAAAAGGAAAATAACCAATTTTTTGAAATAGTGATCTCTAATGTTCCCTAGAAGAAAGCAAATACATTTTGGGATATTAAATCTACCCGAATACTTACGAATGACAGGCAAGAGGACAAGCAGTGTGAGAAATGGTGTTAACAGATCCAGTAGAGAATTGTGTGTCAACAAGAGTGTTACATTCCTTCTCACATTCTGACTCCCTCTCGTTGGAACCGAGCTGATGTACTAAATCTGTGACCAGGAGTTTGAGCTCGTTAACGTGGAAAATGTTAACTGAAACATATGAGGATACGACTACATTTTGTTTTACATTATAAGGAATACTAACGCATTTCAACAGAATCTTAATTTAAAATCAAGTTCGATAAAAAGAGGGCAAGATATGAATTTAAAAAACCCGATTTACTCGCAGACAAGTGAAAATAAAATGAGAAAAAGTCCAGGTATTTTTTAAGAGAAAGCGTCTCCTACTTCATCGACGACATCTGCTATTCTAACCTTTGTCAATCAAACAAAGTATTGTTATGTTCCAAAATTAAGCTCAGAAGAATATCATATTATATCAGCAAAAGAAACCCTACACATCAATTTGTCATGATGTTTCATAAGCATACGATACGAAAGAAAATATAACGGATACATTGCCGATAATTGTCGTCAATCATTGGCTTCAGCTGTGTCTTGCTCATTGAAAGCGCTATACAATGTTGTTAGCACATCTCATTCCAGCAAGGAACATAGTTTTATGAAGCAATTATAACATTGCTTGTTTTGTTTTTAACGTTATCACAACTTTATTTACGCGAGTGTAATGTATTGTTAACAGTGTCATTGATGCAAATGCTTCTATTTGGTGTACATCGAATAAGGACTAATTAACTTTGTTAACACTTCACTTACGGATGCTGTTCAGGAGTGGGTTATTAGATCTACGTGTAGTTGTTGTAGTTGTCGAGATGGCCAAAGGCAGGACAACCACGAGTAAAAGGGCTAATTTCATGATGATACTCGGCTAAATAGCTAAAATGCGAACTGTCGGAAAATAAAAGTGTTGTAAATAAAAAAGGAATATGGTAAAATTCATCAAGTTTTCTAGCGGCGTATAATGGTGTTTGTCGAAACGAAAATAAGTGTGAACTAGAATCTTAGTAAGTAACATCAAACATATGTTACAATGACCATGGAGTCTGAGTAGTCAAATAAGTAAACATTCAAAATCAACAAATAAATGGTAGTTGTATCAATTATACAGATGATAAACTGTATTGGCAAATCTGTCAGTGATAAACCGTTAGAATGTTTTACAAATAAAGTTAATGAGACACAAAAAAAGTGCTTGAACAGCTTCAGCGAAGCAAGATTTTTGTTATTGTGTAGATTAAACACCAGTTAAAAAACCACAAATAACATTTGTAGCTGCACCAACTATAACGTTTATATGCATAAGAGTAAAATCATGCACTCTGCGGAACGCAGTAAACACAACAAATTGGTATGTTTAACACACAAACGAATTTCTATCGTACGGAACAAAACCATTATTTAAAAAGTGTATTTCTTTTAGCTATAAAATTGTAAAGAATTATTTTTTTCACAAAAAAGAAGCTGAAGAGACCCTAAAACCAACGAAATACAAAATCTAACAAAGTAAAATAGAACGAAATTTGATTTAACGATAAAATTAATTAGAAGTAATAGGAATGAAACTAAAGGGAAACACAGAAGATAGATTATGACAGGAAATGCTATTTTCTAAAGACGTTAATTGTAATTTTGAACATTTTGAAAATAATGTTGATAATAATGACGGAGTTTGTCAAAGAAATTAATTTTGACGAGATATATCGGTAAGAAATAGCATTACATTCCATATAGTCAATGCATAAGGAACTTACCAAAGTGGTCGTAAGTTGAGGACTGGGACGATCGATGGGCGGTAAGCTGTTTATATAGAGATAAATACGTGTTTTTTGCTGCTGTCTTAAATTTCAAAATAAATCCATGTGAAATGTCATCTGTATAAGATGTCATACGATTACGTAATCTGTTATAATTTTTATTTTTCTTATCATGATCAGGCTTTTTCTGTTAGGTGTCTACAACATTCCCGAAAGATCGAATAGAGAATACTGAAAAATATGAGATAATGAAATAGTCGATTTACATTATTACGCATACCTGACATATGTTATATGTTACATTTCCAAGATATGATTAAAACAACATTGAATCGATTACCTAATCAATCAAAGGAATATAGCAGTGATTTGGTATCAGTTTGATTAAGATATAATTAAAATAATTTTTGAAAATATTATTGAAAAACTTCTTTTTGTAGATTGCTAGTACCGTAAAGGGTGTAATAAACATTGCCTAAACATGTACCTAAAGTGTCTTTCAGAATTATCGACTGTTTATGGATTTCTTATGGAAGGGTGTGTGTATGTTGGGGTGGGGGAGGGGGCTGTCGGAAGGATAGGCCACGCCACTCTCGAACTATTGGATCTGAGCATACCTTGTTAAATATCACTTATATCAATATTTAGATAACTTAAGCATATTTTGCATGCGTATCTTAACTATTATTTAAACTATCTATGACAGTTTAATGAGAAATGCAGTTTTGCGCATAAAACAAAAATAGCCCATAAATTTTCTGGAATAACGTCCAAATTTGTTTGCAATATCGACTCTTTCAAACACACAAGTGATCTAGTGCATGCAGTAGTATTTTAAACAATTACAAACACAAATAAATGTTAGGAAACAATTTTTGGTGCATGATTTATGTTTTCAACAGTTTTATATAAAATAATTACGAGAGAGCAAATAATATATATTTACACAGTTTACCTATTCTATAGAAATCACAATTTCTGTTTTGCAATTACCTTGTTTGACCCTAGCGAAAGTTTATCAATAAGATATTATCAATCTATTTCAATTTGACCCGTTGTATCCATGCAATTAATATAATCTTGTTGCTCCTTGCAGGCAGGGGCCTGAAATGGGATATTATGTGTTCGTTTCTGCAGTATAATGTAAACTATTTGATCATGATTGATGGAACATCCGGGTGAAGATGACTAATGGCGACCCTTTGTGTTGATATGTTAAAGTTTCTCATATATACTTAAAATCACGTAAATTGATCCAAATGTTAAATTCCTATAACATTCTGATTTCATAAACGCTTACCTTGTATACAACACATAATTAAAAATGTCATCATGGTGTAATTTATATATTTTAGTATCATGTACATAATGTTCCGATACCTTCAGGCCGAATCGTATTTAAAATATTTTACTTTCATTATAATGCATTCTTTTCTTTTATCTGGTATGTCCTAAAACTATGCTGCCCATTGACTGACAACCTGAACAGATATCCTTGAGAATTATCAGTAGAACAGGTCGCACTCTAAAGGTTCTGTAAAACAACCCACTTATATTACATGTTGGTCATTTCAATTGCACTTGAATGACATATGTATAACATTACATAATCGGAACTGTATTCCGTGCTTCTAATTTTATCAGGGTCGACATCTTCATTTGATAGTAGGAGTGGCCAGTTTTATGTCAAAAATGTCTGTCATATTTCATAGTATAATCCAAACATCAACTTGTTTGACTGCTGTGTTTTATTGAATACACAATGTGGATTTTGTATCCAAATGCAGAACTATATGAGCTAATGAATCTGGATAATAAGGTCGCACTCAACAGCAGGGCGGAGTTCGATGATTCCAAATTAACTATATGGCGGGTAATTTTACGCCTCAACGCTGATGACAAATGGAGATCCGGAGTAATGTTGAGAAATGTAGATCGGACGGCAAATAATATCATTGATAGCGGAAAACGTCAAATCCACCCAAGAAACCTGTGAGAAATAGACTGCGAGAGTCAACATTTCTATAGTTATTATTTTACATGATTCGTTGATGATGAGTTCGTTGTTTCGATTTCACGATTAGTTCATTATACCTAAATACATTTTGATGATTTTTGTTGACCTTCCACAGACGGCATACATAGTGTTAAAACAGGGCTACTCTACGCCGAGTCCTTATCCAAATCAGTAGCATATGTGTCCACCCCTACCTACAGCCGCTGCTCTTACTCTCCCATCAATGTGTTTATTGACATTTGAGGGATATTATACAACTCCTGAATAATTGCCTGGGTGAGTTTAGCGATATTATAAGACACGTTGACGTACTTACGAACCCTCCTGTCCAGCTCGTCCCACAAATGCTCGACTGGGGACAAATCTGGACACGTATGGTAGCCAATCAATAACCGGGACGTTGTTTTGAGCCAGAAAGTCACGACAAACCCTAGTGAAATATGTCATCGCTTTGCCCTGCTGCAACGTACGGTTACGTAGATGTAGAAAAGGAAAGACGTGTGGTCTTAAGACTTGATCCCGATATGTTACTGCTTTGAGATATTCCCCTGCCAATACCATAACATATTATCCCCGAATATGTCGCTTTCCGTCACGCAAGATTCAGAGTATCGCTCGCAACGACGTCGATAGGCACGTTGTCGTCTATCTGACCTATAAAGCGAGCCTCGTCAGTGAACACATTCGTCTCAAATGGGCCAAAGGAGACCGAATAGGTGGATGTACAAGCGGCCACTGCATTCAACGTTAGCGTCGCCTCTGTGTAAGTGGCAGACCAACGTGCGGACGTCGTGGCATTGCCATACTGGCCAGCAATGAGTGCCATCTCCGTGGCCCTCGGAAATCGGTTACGGAGGTCGAGAGACGTATGCATCTATCTTGACGTAGCGTAGTAACGCTCCTGGTACAGTAACACAATCTCATTTTGGAATGAGACGCCCAATTGGTGTATTGTTGCTTCATATACACCAAATTGCTGGGCTACATTACCTTCTTAATCCCCCCTCCCTGCTTTACCAGAGCTATGTTTCAAACCTCTATCAACTTCACTCATTCACGGCATTTTGCTCTACAATTTACTAAAACGAAATGGTGTGTAGCTGATATGCATTGTTCATGATACACGCTTTCTTGAAAAATCTGCTTAAATCAGCTTCGAGAGTGGTCACGGTTGGCTGAATTGTATCATTTTAACAATGCACGGGGATAGCTCTGTGTCAAATTTAATTAAATTTCTTCCATGCCACAGTTATATTACAAAAACCGAACTTGCGTTTCTTTTTTGCTGCTAGTATATACATATATATGTACTGTCTAACCTGAATGTTATATGTGATAGGTAATTTCGAATGATAAAGAAAGAATTCAGACATAGAGCTAATGTTGGAAGATCACTTGAAATGTAGCTCATGACGTGAAGTATCTGCCTGTAAATACGAGCTGTAATTCAGAAGGTAGTGTTATAAATTAACTACTCGTAATTGTTCTTCTTGTATTTTAGTTTACTTTGTCTTTGTTTGTACCCTTATTGTCCCTACTATTTTTGTTTATTTTTTTCTCACCACTCCGCCTAACAACAATAATGGACCCTATTGTTGTGTATAAAACAACGAAGTTGATCACAAAAAACTAGTCGTAGTTGTTCGTCTTGTATTTCCATCTACTTGATAAAAATTAAGAAGCCATAATGCTAGTTTATAAATAAGTTGTGTAAGTAGGTAAACAGTATACTTGTGGCAGTAAACAGAGTATTATTCCTTGATCATACAGCTTGTGGTTCCACGACACTAGTTTTATTGGACACCATTTTTGCATTTTATCGTCCCTTTGACATATGCCGTTTCATTTTGACGATTCCTCTATAAAATGGATTTCTGTTCCCCATTCATCCACACTGCTTTACAGGCAACTTGACTGGTAAGTTCTGCATGTATATTAGAACATTTAATCTGAAGTTAGTGTACCTTAGTACTTCAGTTTGTACTTTGTTCCACATTATTTTTTCTCAAAGTTATCTCCTTGTATGGAATCTTTTTGGGTTATGCTTCTTTCAATTTAAAGAGTAAATTGTTTTCTTGGTACAACATGATAATAAACACATTGCTTTGCTTGCTTATTTTGTTTATAGCTACAATCTTACAGCTGATAATAATTATGTGAAAGTTTTACAGTTGTCATCGTGATCTCATTGATAAATATCCTATTTCTTTATGCGATATGCAGCTGGATGTGTTTGATGCTTGTTATTTTTTTTTGTTTGTTTGTTCCATTGTTGTATTTCTTGTTGTCATTTGCGAAAATTGGCATTACTTACTTGGATTCATCAAGGGTTATATAGTGGAGTCGTCAATGAAACAAAAAACGTTTACGAAGCACATGATGTTATTGTCCGTGAAATGTTTTCAGAAGTCTCCGTGTTAATCTTCATATTCTTCATATTCTTTTGGTATTTTCTTGGATTTTCTATTCAGCAAGAACATATTCATGTTCGAACAAAAAACTTTAAACGTTATGGATATAATTAATGTATCTTTGTATTTAATTTTGTAATATTCAACACCACATATGTGTGTACCTTGTGTTCTTTTTTATGCGAATTGCATGTTTTAGTACCTCGTCCGTTTCACTGTATAACTTGAATAATATCATGTTAAACTGGAAACTTGTTATCTTATATTTTGTCTACCAATTTGAGAAGGAATCAGTGGACTATTTACCGTAAAATGAGTTTATCAAACGCGACTAATAAATCGTCATCTCCAGTCTTTTTTCTACATGATTGAAAGAAATTAAATTAGATTATAACTAATCATTTGAATGATTTTCGCAATAATGAGATATTTCAAATATAACTATCCCCCATGTTGCAATATACATGTACCTTTCTGCTCGAAAAGCTTCCCTTAATATCTTTGTATTTAATAAATATGACAGATTTGACGATGATGAATTTCTGCTTGCCGATGAAGAGTTTATCTCAGTACATGATTGTTTTAGGAGACATGTGATAATTGGGTACTAGACATATACGACGAATTGGTTTTATTAAGAGGTTCGGGAAACCTATTGGCCAAGAACTGTTTTTGTAAACGTGGATGCAATAATTATACAATCCTTTACAAGTAGAAATAACAAGATGAACCAAGTAACATCGAAAAGTCGTGAATTTTTCATATTTCTTTGTGACCTCATGTGATTGTCCAGTAGTGAGGAAAGTATTTTCCGCATCGAAATAAGTCTGCCTAATAGGGAAAGTTAATGTTTTACCTAATATCATTTCCGGAAGGTACATAAATGTTTTAGGGCTATTAATCACATTTGAGTATCTGCCCTTGTATTACAATATGTGCATAGTCAATACTGGAATGCAATAAATTTTCGCTTTGTTAACAGTTATACTTTTAAAGTCCTTCTTTTGCCACAATTTTGAAACGCTTTTACTTTTTTCTCATAGCTCAATAATCTCCAATCAACGATTCATCATGAAGTTGGCTCTTTTTCTCGCGGTTTTCCTTCCTCTGGCAATGTCATCTCCACAGAAAAAGGCATTAAACCCATTTCTGAACAGTACTTGTAAGTTCATGATTATATACTTTATATTAATGGGTTTTTTTTCTTGTCTCTCCAGTTCTTTCTTGACTCTTTTTGCGTTAGCCTTTATGATTTGTCCTCTTAATGGAGAAACTATACCATATGTATTATTGTATTTCCAATTTTCAATCACAATAATGAAATAAACTTCATAACACTTGCTCTATCGAGAAGAAATTCGGTCGAAAAGTATTGATTAACAATTGTTACAAGAAACTAAAAAATAAATAGAGGACAAATCGTTATAAAGGAATTGGATTTAAATGTATTACTTTTAAATGCATCAGCGCAATCCTATCGCTAAAATACTGTTTTTGTGTTTCTCAGGAAGCCGGGAAACGGACTGGAGTGTGCAATATTTCACTCCTCTTGCTATTACACTATATGGTATCAATGCTTCAATATTTAAATTTCTAGATATTCTGATAAACTATGATATCATTGAGGGGAGCGTTGTGTGTGCCATAGCTTTTGTTCTTGAGAGAAACACTACCGTTGTTGGTTTGGATGACATACAACTGGCCTTATGTTAAAACAAAGTCATTTCTTTCTGAAGGACATGCATATATATGTGCAATAATCACCATACATTTTGTCCTATCTTCTAGTGAACATTTTCAAAGTCAACGAGCTAAAACTCCTGGTCACAGATTTAGTAAAACAGCTCGGTTCTGACGAGAGGGAGGCAGAATGTGAGACGGAATGTAACACGCTTTTTAACACACAATTCTCTACTGGATCTATCGACTCCATTTCTCACAGCGCTTGTCCTGTTGCATGTCATTCGTTAGTATTCAGTAAGATTTTACAATCTCAAAACGTAAATTTGCTTTCTTCTAAGGAACATCAAGGATACCAAAAGTTATCTGGTTTTCCCTTTGTAAACTTGATATCAATGACCTAATTGTAACACACTTAAAGACAGTTCACCGCTGGAGTAGTGGATACCCTTTCTGATCTTATATTGTATATTGGAATTGATTTGTGTATTTATACAGGTTATATGTTCAATGTTGTTTTTATGTAATATGTGTATACCTGCATTATCACCAAATATTCAGTTTACATGCCAATATGGGCACAGAAAAAAATTATTTGGACTAAGTTTCTTCAGGGAATTATTCCAAGAGGCTAATCAATTAAGCTGTTAGTAACTAAGGTATGGATGATTTACAAATAATGTCTCTAAATGTCAGGGGACTCCATTCAGATAAAAAAAGAGAATAGACTTATTTTATTGGATTAAAAAGAAAAATGATACTGTTGTATTCCTACAGGAAACACATAGCTGTGTAGAAATTGAAACTAAATGGGAAGATGAGTGGGGAGGAAAAGGAATACTTAGTCACTGTAGTACATCAAGTGCAGGGGTTGCGATATTTTTTGGAAACAAAGTTGAAACTAATATACATAGTAGAGAGTTAGATTCAAACGGTAGATACATTATATTAGATGTTACAATTAACGGAGCTAGAATCACTTTAGTAAACTTATATGGACCTAATAATGATGTTCCTGATTTCTTTGAAAAAATCTTTAGAAAAGTCAGGTTAATCTCAAACACAAAAATTGTAATAGGAGGGGATTGGAATGTAACACAAGACAAAAAACAGGATACTGACAATATTATTCAAGATAATCATAGATTTTCTAGAGAATGTATCATAAGAAATATGGAAGATTTAGACTTCATTGATATTTGGAGAGTTCTCAATGATGAAAAACGAAAATTCACATGGCGCAGAAAAAAACCCAATCAAACAAAGTCGTTTAGACTATTTTATTATCTCACAAGATGTTTTTAGTACAGTTACAGATGCCAAAATATCACCAGGCTATCAGACGGATCATTCATGTAAATCTATGACTTGTATGAAAGAAGAAAGTAACAGGGGTAGAGGGTATTGGAAATTTAACACTGCTTTATTAAAAGATAAAACTTGGGTTAATCTGGTAAATCAATGTATAAAAGACACTTTTAATGAATATAGGATTTCTGGGGACTCAGAAACATTAGAAAATGTTGAACTACGAATAAATGATCAAATGATGTTTGAAATAATTAAAATGAAAATTAGAAGCCTAACAATTGAATACTCTATTAAAGCAGCAAAAGAAAGAAAAAGAAGGGAAAACATTATTACAGAAAATATAAAGAAATTAGAAAAGTTAATGATTAGTCAGCCTTCCAATGAAGTATATGAACAATTAGAGGAAGAAAATAAACTATTATCAGAGGAAAGAGAAAAGAAAATTGAAGGAATTATGCTTAGGTCAAAGGTTACATGGTACGAAAAGGGTGAAAAATGCTCAGATTTCTTTTGTGGTCTTGAAAAGCAAAATTTTGTTAATAAAACGATTAATGAGCTCATCAACGAAAAGGGTGAACATTTAGCAAACATAACAGAAATATTAGAGGAAGAAAGACAATTTTATAAAACACTTTATACAACACAAAAATATTGTGATAATGAGTCTCCACTATTTAACCATGGAAAAATGATAAGTCAGATAGAAAAAGAAAGTTGTGAAGGTCTTATTACAGTTAATGAATGTAGTAAAGTTCTTCAAGATATGAGTAATAGAAAAAGTCCTGGATCAGATGGGTTTCCAGCAGAATTTTATAAGTTTTTCTGGAAGGATATGAAATACTTTATATGTAAATCAATAAACTATGCTTATAATAATGGATCACTATCAGACTTTCAATGTCAAGGAATAATAACTTGTATCCCGAAAGAATCAAAAGATAGAAGATTAATAAAAGATTGGAGACCTCTGACTCTATTAAATACTGATTATAAGATAGCTTCTGCATTAATAGCAAACAGAATAAAGAAAGTACTACCATTAATTATCAGTGATACACAGAAAGGCTTTATGAAAGACAGATTTATTGGTGAAAATACAAGGTTAGTCTGTGATATAATGCATGATTTAGAGGAAAAAAATATGTCTGGTTTATTACTATTGGTAGACTTTGAAAAAACCTTTGATTCTTTGGAATGGAAATTTACACAAAAATCTTTGCAATCTTTTAACTTTTGTCAGTCTTTGCTCAAATGGATACATTTATGATACTATAATGCAAAAAGTAGAATAATTAACAATGGATATTTTTCTTCATTCTTTGAGATACAGCGTGGTTGTAGACAAGGGTACCCGATATCGCCATACTTATTTTTAATTGGGATAGAAATTTTGGCCATACAGCTAAAAAAAAAAAAAAATCAAAACATTAACGGAGTGAAAATAAATGTTAAAGAATATATGTTAGGTCAATATGCTGATGATGCCTTTCTATTTCTAGATGGCTCTCCTAGGTCATTATCAAGTGCAATAACTGATTTCAATATTTTCTATGAAGTTTCTGGACTCAAATTAAACATTGAAAAATGTCGATTAATATGGGTTGGTAATAAAAAGTATTCTGATGAGATTATATGTCCAGAATACCAGTTCAACTGGTCATCCCAAGATTTCAAGTTACTTGGAATACGGTTTTCCTTGGACCTTTCACATATGATTGAGTTTAATTATAAAGAAAAACTTTCCAAAATACGTAAACTTCTGGGAATGTGGGCCAGAAAAAATCTTACACTTTTAGGGAAAGTTACTGTTATTAAAACATTAGCCCTTCCTCTACTCATACATCTATTCTATTATCTCCCAAATCCTAGCAAACAGATGATTAGTGAAATAAATTCAGTGTTTTTCAGATTCATTTGGGGACATAAGCCAGAACAAATTAAGAGAAATACAATGATTTTAGACTATGAAGAAGGAGGATTAAAGATGGTACATATTGAAAGTTTTATGAAATATTTAAAAATTAAATGGATTAAAAGGTTATATGAAGGGACAGGAGATTGGCAATCTTTAGCCAAATCCAACTTCAGTAAATATGGAATGGACAGAATGTGGAACATGGATAAGGAAAAAATAGAAGAAATATCAGATAATATAAAGAATCCCTTTTGGAGAGATGTTGTTTTAGCATGGAATGAGTATAAAGATGATAACATTGACCCAAATGCATTTGTTAATGGTGACCTTTTAAATTATATTCCTCTAAATTTATTCAAGCAATTTAAATCATATGAGACAAACGGGGTCAAAACAGTAAAGGATTTATTGGATGAAAATTTACAATTTTTATCATTCAATGTAATGAAAGATAAATGTAGGAACATTAATTTTTTGCAGTATTTTTCACTGACTAATAAAATAACAAGGAATAAATTAAATTGATTAAGACAAGAACTGGTCACCTTGGAAAACATAAACTATTTACAGCAATTAATAGAAAAAAAGAGATTTTAAATGTGTCTATAAATCACTAGTAGTGGAAAACAAACATTATCCTGTGGAGAAAGAAGAGAAATGGAATAGAAAATTAAATAAAAACTTAAGTGAATATGTTGATTGGAAATGTATTTATTTAAACAGTTTCAAAATGACAATGGATACAAATTTACAAAATCTCCAGTTTAGAATAATTCATAGAATTTTAACAACAAATAGTTTTCTTCACAAAATAAATGTGGTAGACAGTGATTTGTGTACCTTCTGTGAAAATGAACCAGAAACTCTAGAACCTTTGTTTTTTTACTGTATTAAAGTAAACAACATATGGAACGAATTGAAGGACTGGATGAATAGTTTTAGTAATAACGGATTAATAATTAATCAATTAAATATTGAAGATGTTTTACTCTTCTGCAAACAAGGTCCAGCTATTATCAATTACTTGATATTGATTATAAAGAATCATATTTATTACTGTCGTTTTAGAAAAATACTACCATCTTTTAGTGTTGTTAAAAACTGTATTAAGAAAATAAACCTAATTGAAAAAAATGTGGCAGACACTAATAAGGGACTGCTTAAATTTAATCAAAAATGGAATCCCCTGAACAATTTATGTAATTAGTTTTTCTCATATAAGCTGGAAATTTCCCCAGATGAACCATAATATCAAGTCCTTCAATTGCACATGTTGGTAAAACAGAAATGTCATACATAATTTTTGGTAGGATTTTTAGGTAAAATGAAATGTTAACATATATGATATTGTCTAAAGTACATAATCAGGTAATTGTTAGGTGTGTGTGTAAACTTGTTTGTTAATGTCTGATGTATTTGTATGTATCGAGAAATTATTGTGTGTATATGTAAACGTGTATGCTGCAGAGTGTATTGTTTATTTGTGTATATGAACTAATTAGAAATTTATATGAACTAATTAAGTAGTATATTATAAAAAAAATGTCCTTTTTTATTGTTTGAGTAGATGTATTTGTTCATATTTGTGGTTGTGTGAGTTTTGGATGAAAGAGAGACGAATGTATGTGATGAGTAATGTAGTTTATATAAAAGGAATTATATAAGGAATGGAATGGAGATATAAAAGGAATGGAATGGAGATAGTAGTAAAGTTTATGGTTTGTTTATATTGTCAGTGTGAATGGCAAGTGTGACGAGTGAGAGCCCTCCTGTGTGGGGACATGTGTTGTAATGTTAATGTTTATTTTGTCAATTAAATTTGTAAAAAATATATATATATATATATATATATATATATATATTGTAATTTTATATCAATATTTGACTATTTAGTGATAATTCTGTAAATTTTGGTGATTGTCAATTGTACATTAAACAACATTAAACTGTTTTTGTCTCATAAAAGATGTAACTGTCATTTTGCTCTTGAGCGTTTTCAAACGAAACAATTGATGAATAACTTATGATCGTGATTTATTATGAAAATGAAGGTAACTTTTAAAGAAGTTAGGAACTCCAAGTTATTCAAGTCATTAATACAAAGTAACTAAACAGGAAGAATTTATACTTTTTGACTTACAATACCTCTTATCTTATGACATTTTTTTTTACCGTTTTACAGCTTACAGGAGTTAGTCCACTATTTTAAAATTCCTGTACCTTCGACAACAAGTTCACCAGTTCTCTAAAGGAACTTTCTTTGCAAACCTGAACCGTAACGTAATGATTAAGTAAATAAACATAATATGATGTTAACGAAGTTTCCATTTTGTCATTTATATTTGTGCGTTGTACGACATTAAATGATATAACAAAAATATTGATAAACAAAGAATGATTGTATCATATATGTCCGAATATATTTGAGTTTTTAAAAACATTTCTCAGTAATGCTAGAGTAGTAAAGAAATTATCATAACAGGATCATGAATTCATTTCATTGTGAAAACCATTGGAATTGTAACTTTATGTATGTTGCCAAATGCACATATAGTAATTAAAGTATAACTCTGTACTCGCAAAATTTATGATTCAGCCATCCATGAAATATGTATTTTATGCGAATGTAATAAACACCGAGAGGAATACGAAACGCATCTTCAACATTTAGATTTAATAAAGTAAGAGTCACAATAAGACCGACATGAACTTAGGGTACCCCAATATACACAAAACATTAAGCGGAAATAACGGTAGTTGTCAGGCCGATCCCTGATATCGTGTGTCCATGGAGGAATGTTAATTCATTTTTTGGTAAGTTCGATGGCCAATTTGCGAAGGTTACATAAGGTGTCTGTTGGATTCCCAAGTATTCTCTCTAATCCACCCCATAGATGGTTGATTGGAGACAGGTCCGGACCACATGAGGCCTATCAAAAGGTCGATATTCTGGGTTGCAGAAAACTCGAATGGTGCTTAATAATGACCGGTACAACATGAGGATCTCATTTTGCTATACTGTTTTAAAACAATAATCTAATGGACCTAATCAACACTTGTATCTGACAGCAAATGCAGGCAGAACTGGTATGAAGTTACTGCAAATTCGCAGAAAGAAAAAAATACCAGAAGACCCAAGAAACAGTAAAACAAAGATACAAATAAAAAGCACATTCAACATGAACCAAGAATCAGACAGAGTAAAGAGCATTTAATTGTATCACACAGTTGTTTCGTCCTTCAGTGACTCTTCTCTTTGTGTGCCTCGTTTTCCCTACAAGGTTCTGTCATCATCATGGAATATTTTAACGCTCAACTCTGTGGTCCTCACAAACTTTCAAAATTATCGAGTTCTTCGTCTACAACGATGTTTAGACCGATATCAGTTGAGCGCTCTGACTACTTCCTACATTTGCTCTGGACCATTATATGCCTATGTACACTCTGATAATGGCATTTCATCTCTTATTGATCATGTGATAATAGATTCATCCAAAATTGACCTCATATCAAACTCTTTGTGTGCCTCGTTTTCCCTACAAGGTTCTGTCATCATCATGGGATATTTTAACGCTTGCCTCTGTGGTCCTCGCAAACTTTCAAAAGTATCGAGGTCTCCGTCTACAACGATGTTTAGACCGATATCAGTTGAGTGCTCTGACTACTTCCTCCATTTGCTCTGGACCATTATATACCTATGTACACTCTGATGACGGCATTTCATCTCTTATTGATCATGTGATAATCGATTCATCCAAAATTGACCTCATATCAAACTGTTTTATCGATGACCAACCTTACTTGGACGTCTCCGATCACAGACCAATCTTCTGTGATATTCTTTTTCCAACCGCATCGTCCATAAAATCTCTCCAGCTTGAACGCAATATTTTCAAGTGGCCTTCCGATGGCACTTTTTCAGGTACTGAAGTCTATCGCGATAACCTTCATCAGCTTATAACGCAGTCCAACCTCATTAGTTACACAATGTTTCATACATCGACAGTTAGACGGACTTATTGACTAAAGGTATTCAGGACATATCCCTATCGTCTCTCCAAAAGAGGAAGTTTAAGAAATTCTTGAAACCCTATTGGAAAGGAAAGCTGAAAGAGTTACATCGCGATATGTGGCGGTCGAAATGTATTTGGGACGAAGGTCGTCCTCGTGATCCTAACTCTCACTCCTTTTGCTTATACAAGGACGCGAAACGTAAGTTCCGGCATAAACAACGCCAGTTATCAGAGAACCATATTATTATATGGACTTCCACATCAAAGTAGCGGCGGATATATATGTCTTTGTATATTATTTAATGCTTTCAGAAGGTTTGATTATGTACCTGTGTCACTAAAACATGGCTTGATTTGCACGTTATATATAGGTCATAATAAGCCAAGAATAACCCAAATAGCTACAGAGCGATTTCTCTCCTACCCGTTATTCTAAAAGTGTATGAAAAAACTACTCTTGATAAGATTAGAGTCTATAAACCTTTTTCATGTAAATTCATTACAGCATGGTTTCAAAAACAAGCTAGTATCTCTATGACTTCATATATTGTGCAAGAAACAATCGCGTACGCTTCTGAACATGATAGAAAATTGTTCACTTGTTTTTAGACGCGTCTAAACCCTTTGATTGTGTCTGGCTCGACGGTCTGTTTTTTAAACTATCACATTTGGCTTTTGACAGATAAATTATTAGTATGATTATGTCTTTACACAAGGATATGTATAGTGTTGTTATGCATCAAAATCTTGTGTCTAAAGTGTTCGAGATAATCCAGGGGACACGTCAGGACAGTATTATCTACCCTTGGCTCTACTGTGTTGATATCAACGATTTCCTGACTGATCTTACTAGTTCTGTATTCTAGCTAGCTATATCAGATGTAAATGTCAAGAGACCTTCGCAAGCAGATGATATCTGTCTTCTTTCACTTACCAAACACAATTAAGATATGCTGATAGATATTTGCTAAAATTATAGTTGTAATTGGAGATTTTAATATAATGCCTCCAAATCAGCAGTTGTTTGTCCTCAACGAAAGTAGTAATGTTCGCTCACAATCGTATCGTACTTGGTATCTAGGTGACAATGTTGTTCATGAAAGCACAAATGTTAAACACGTAAGTATTAATTTGAATAAATTTAAACCAGGTCGGCCTGATGTCGGCGATGTTATCCACAAACTGCGAGGTCAGTGTTTCGCTCTACTGAATTGTTATTTATTTGGTCCCAGTATCAATCCTTGACTGGAGTCCATATGTATTTGTCTGTTGTACTACCTTGAGGTATGTTTGGTTGTGATCTCTGGCACTCTCTCTCCAAATCTGATTGGCGTCGCCTAGAATCAGCCAATTTATGTGCAAAATAAATACAAAATTGCCTACTTCGTACTAGGTCTGATGTAGCATTGGGAATGATAGGTTTGCCTTCTATACATCTTTATGTAGAGCAATGTAAGCTTCGTTTTTTTCGAGGCTTTGCGTAATATAAAAACAACTTGTACTTCAAAGCAACTCTTTTTGTTGCGTTTACACCAAAAATATCTTGGGAGTAAATAACGCTAAGAAAGGTTTCATCAACATTTGGGATGCTTTACACAAATATAACTTCCGAGATCTCTCACTTGATTTTCTAAATTCTGGGATATTTCCATCCAAGCTTAGCAGGAAATATCTTGTAAAGAATGTCCTTCTCTGTAAAGAATCTGATGACTGGCGTTTACGTTCGTTAGAATTTTATAGATTCAAAATTCTTTATCCTGATATGGTTCCTGATGTAATTTGGTTATTTTCTAAACGCCATTCAAATTTTTGCAGGACATGTAAAACTGTGGCGAAAATGTGGATTCTCCTCTCCTACGTGTGAACTTTGATGTGCTAGATGGAAAGGCACTTTTGAAGACGCAGTCGCCCATTGTTTACTTGCCTGCAAAGAGCCCATATTAAAGTTTCTGCGAGATACTAGTTTACTAGTTTTGTGGTCAAATATCCAGTTAATGTGTAGGTATCATTTGACCAGGCGGACAGAGCTGTCAAGACAGCGGCTCCGTGGGGTGCTCCCAGCGGGGGCATTTATCAATCATTATATGATGATTCATATTTGTTCACATTTTTTTTTTAAAATTGTCTCATGTTTTCTGAAAAGGCCTACAATATGACTTTTCAGTAAAGGCCATCTCATATCTAATGTTTGATGTGTTCTGCTAGAAATTTCCATTATTGATGGATTTGTAATTCACATTCATTGTTCAGTATTTATATACATATATTCTTGCACTTTTTCCTTTAACTTTCACCTACATTTATCATAATTATCATTGTAATTACTCTTAAATTTTTTGGAGGAAATAAAGAAATGATGTTGATGATGATGGTAGAACATCTTTGTATTCTGAATAGTGCAACTACATGTACTTGAGTGAATCAACACCTAAATAACAAACACAAAATACAAAACTATGTTTTGTGTAGTTGAACTCATAAGATAATACTGTAACTTCGGATTTCGTTTTTATTAGGATGACAAATGTTTTATATTCGTCTCAGGTTTCTAGGACCCCAATTTTAAGCAGAAGAAGCTGGTTGAGATGTCGGGATATGGAAAAAGTGGACGAGTTCTTGTAGCCTGTGAACGAAATAACGGACATATTATTAGACATAATTTAGCCCTAAACTGACAACATAAACATATGCGGTTGTCTAATGGGTTGATACGTTTATCTAAACTTTCAATGTCTTTCTATTGTATTACCTAGGAAAATGCAATATGCCTAGTCAACGTTAGCTGTTATTGACTCCATAGCGACCAGGCTTGATGCTTGGTTAAGATGACCGAAAATTTCTTTAAAAGGAAAAGAGAGCTTAAGAAATGGAGAAAGAGATTGCTAATTGTGTAACAACACAGATACTGATAGATTAACTGTTTTATTGTTTTATCGTTATTCCGACCAATGCATGAACATCGCAAATCAATTCTGGTGACACAGAAAAGACTGAGACTGAGTCCAATGACCCTTTAACCAATGAAACAGATCAGCTAAAGCCTTAGACAAACGTATCAGTAATTATCTAATTACAAATCAATTATAAAACATCTGCTGGTTGAACATTATAAGGACAGAGTCTATACTGCGATTAGATCATAACACATCAGTGTAATGACATTGTAGTATTGTTATATTTTCGAGGATATCATTTCGCTGTTTTTTTTAAGGACGGAAAAAATGTTTGAACTTATATTTGATGAAGATAACACAAATCCCTATCATAACCTCCTTGATATGTATATTTCTACAAGCTTCATTAACATAGCCAAAATTTGACAAAAAGGAAAATTAACAATATTTTGAAATAGTGATCTCTAATGTCCGTTCGAAGAAAGCAAATATATTTTGGGATTGTAAAATCTACCCGAATACTTACGAATGACAGGCAAGAGGACAAGCATTGTGAGAAATGGTGTTAACAGATCCAGTGGAGAATTGTGTGTCAACAAGCGTGTTACATTCCCTCTCACATTCTAACTCCCTCTCGTTGGAACCGAGCTGTTGTACTAAATCTGTGACCAGCAGTTTGAGCTCGTCAGCGTGGAAAATGTTAACTGAAACATATGGGGATAAGATTACATTTTGTTTAATAAAATTATAAGGAATTCCAACGACATTTCAACAGAATCTTAATTAAAAATCAAGTTCGATAAAAATAGGGTAAGATATGATTAAAAACGATTTACTCGGAGACAAGTGAAAATAAAATGAGAAAAAGACCAGGTATTTTGGAAGAGAAAGCGTCTTCTACTTCATCGACGACACTTGCTGTTCTAACCGTTGTCAATCAAACAATACTTTTTACGTTCCAAAATTAAGCTCAGAAGAATACCATAGTATATCAGCAAAAGAGAACCTTCTCATCAATTTGTCATGGTGTTTCATAAGAATACGATACAGAAGAAAAATATCACGGATAATTTGTCGATCATTGTCGTCAATTATTGGCTTCAGCTGTGTCTGGATCATTGAAGGCTCTATACAGTGTTATTAGCACAAAAAACTCATTCCAGCAAGGAACATACAAGTTTTGAATTTGAAGCAATTAGGATACAATCATTGTTTGTTTTGTTTATAACGTTATCACAACTTTATTTACGCGAGTGTGATGTATTGTTAACAGTGTCATTGATGTAAATGTTACTATTTGGTGTACACATCGAATAAGGTCTAATTAACTATGTTAACACTTTACTTACGGATGCTGTTCAAGAATGGGTTATCAGATAAAGCTCTTTGGGGTGCCGACATTGCCAAAGGCAGAACAACCACGAGTAAAAGTGCTAATTTCATGATGATACTCGGCTAAATAGCACAAATGCGAACTGTCGGAAAAAGAAAAGTGTTGTAAATAAAAAAGGAATATTGTAAAATACCCCAATTTTTCTTGCAGCGTATAATGGTGTTTGTCGAAACGAATAAAAGTGTGAACGAGAATCTTAGTAAAAAACATCAAACATATGTTACAATGACCATTGAATCAGTGTAGTCCAATCTGTAAACATTGAAAATCAACAAACAAATGGAAGTTAAGTTGTACCAATTATACAGATGATAAACTTCATCGGCAAATATGTCAATGATAAACCATTTCAACACAAAAAAATAAAATAACTGCGATGAAGATAAAATGCGTGAACAGCTTCAACAATGCAAGATATTTGTTATTGTGCAGTATTAAAACCAGTAACTGCAAATAACATTTGAAGCCGCACAAACTACATCTTCTATATATATAAGAGTAAACCATGCACTCTGCGGAATTCAGTTATCACAACGAATTGATATGTCATACAAACCAACGAATTTCTATTGTATGGAACAAAATCATTATTTAAAACGTGTATTTCTTTAAGGTATTTTTGGAATCAAAATTCTAGTAGAATTAAAATGTTATCAATCGATGTTTCAAAACAAGAAATTGAAAAAAAAGCTTAATAGGCGCTAAAACAAAACAAAAAAGGAAAAAAAAGAAAAAAAGAACAAAAAATCTTACAAAATAAAACGGAACGAAATTTGATTAAACAATGAAAGTATGCAAAAAGCAAAAGGAATGAAACCAAAAAGGAAACACAGGAGATAAATGTCGTCAGGAAATGCTATTTTCCAAAATAATAAACTGTAATTTTGAACATTTTATAATAATTTTATTAATAATGATAGATCGTGTCAGAGAAATTCATTTTGAGAAGATATATCGGTAAGAAATAGCATTATATTCCATATAATAAATGCATTAGGAACTTACCAAAGTGGTCGGTAGTTGAGGACTTGGACGATCGATGGGCGGTACGCTATTTATATAGAGATAAATGCGTGTCTTTACTGGCTTAATGGCAAAACACACCCATGTGAAAAGACATCTGTACACAAAGTCGTACGATTACGTGATCTATTTTACTTTCCGTTCTTATCATGATCAGACCCATTTGATATAAATATATGAGATAATGAAATAGTCGATTTACATTACGCATACCTGATATACGTTTTGTGATATATTATTAAGATCAGAATTGAACAACATTGAACCGATTGCCAAATTAATTAAAGGAAAACAGAGAGTACTTGGTATCAGTAGTATGATATCGTTACAGTTGTTTCACTCTTCAAGGAATCGTCAGTGATGCTAAATTACTATTTTTTCAAAACCTAGAATAATAAAGACTGATCGAAGAGATGTCATAATCTAGAACGTCTTTGTACTCTAAATAGTGCAACTACAGGTATGCGATTGAATTTAAACATAACGTGCAGTGTAAGACAACCCGAGTTTCATGCATAGGAAACTCTGACTGCAGTAACCGCAATAGTTAGAATCAATAGCATACCAATACCTGACAAAGGTATGATTATCTAAAGATTATAAAAAATGGGTTTGCCCCATTGTGAAGTTCACAAATAAATTGTCCGGCTGATAGAAACGCTATATCCGCCTTGAGAATGGGCATATATTGTAATGTTTCTAGCAGTTGAGTAAATTTCTTACACTTAAACACTATAGGCAGTATTCTATCTTTTACATTCCAAAGATTTATCGTATCAATGCAGACATCGCGTCATCGATGATTTTTTTTTCACTTATTTTCTTGCTTATTGTATTCTTCAACGAAGAAAGGCTACCTGCTATAGAGCACCGAGTATTTTGAAACGTTTACTTGTTTGAACAAATAAACATTTTAAACAAACTTTTCTTGAAAATTGAAATTTTCTCTACCAATATGAACTAGCTGCCAATTAGAGACTCATTTTTACATTCTTTGCAGCTATGTTACATCAAATCTTCAAAGCAGTTACACAATTTTAAATATGTAAAGATATCAAGACTTTCAGCAACGCTCCTCGTAAACTGGCTTGAATAAACATGTAAAGAAGTATTGAGATTATTTCACTTGAGGATAACCATTCCAAAGAGAGACACCCTCACCCACATGCACACCTAACTAACAAATCCAAAAAAACACACAAAAAACTACAAGTTTTCTTGTAGTTGAACATATGAAATAATACAGTAATTTAAGATTTGGTTTTTTATTAGGATGGCGAAATGTTCATATTCTTCTAAGGTTTATAGCACCTTTCTTTTAAGCAGCAGAAGCTGGTGTAGGTGTCGGGATATGGAAAAAGTGGATGAGTTCCTGTAGCCTGTGAACGAAATAATGGACATATTATTAGGTATGATTTAGCCTAAAACTGACAACATAAACATATGCGGTTGTTCACTGGGTTGACACATTGATCTAATCTTTCAATGTCTTTCTAATGTATTACTCAGGAAAATGCAATATAACTAGTCAACGTTAGCTGCTTTTGACTCCATAGCGACCAGGCTTGATGCTTGGATTAAGATGACCACAAACAATTTTAAAAGGAAAAGAAAGAGAAAAAAATATATACTGATAGATTAACTGTTTTACTGTTTTAGCCATCGATCTTCCGACCAATGCATGAATATAGCAAATTAATTTCATTAAAACAGAAGAAACTATGGCTGGGTTCAATGACTCTTTTCCTAATGAAACAGATCAGCTAAAGCCTTAGACAAACGTATAAGAGTTTATGTAATTAAAAATCAATGATAAAACATCTGCTGGTTGGACATTATAAGGACAGAGTCTATACTGCGATCAGATCATTACACATCAGTGTAATGACACTGTAGTTATATTTTCGAGGATGTCATTTCCCTGTTTCTTAAGGACGGAAGAAGTATTTGAACTTATAATTGATGAAGAAAACACAAATCCCTATCATAACCTCCTTGACATGTATATTTCTACAAGCTTCATTAACATAGCCAAAATTTGACAAAAAGGAAAATTAACAATATTTTGAAATAGTGATCTCTAATGTCCCTTAGAAGAAAGCAAATACATTTTGTGATTGTAAAATCTACCCGAATACTTACGAATGACAGGCAAGAGGACAAGCAGTGTGAGAAATGGTGTTAAGAGATCCTGTAGAGAATTGTGTGTCCACAAGCTTGTTACATTCCGCCTCACATTCTGTCTCCCTCTCGTTGGAACCGAGCTGGTCTACTAAATCTGTGACCAGGATTTTAAGCTCGTCAGCGTGGAAAACGTTAACTGAAACATATGAGGATACGATTACATTTTGTTTAACAAAATTATAAGGAATACTAACGACATTTCAACAGAATCTTAATTTAAAATCAAGTTCGATAAAAAGAGGGCAAGATATGAATAAAAAAACCGATTTACTCGGAGACAAGTGAAAATAAAATGAGAAAAAGACCAGGTATTTTGGTTCTAACCTTTGTCAATCAAACAATACTTTGTTATGTTCCAAAATTAAGCTCAGAAGAATATCATATTATATCAGCAAAAGAGAACCTACTCATCAATTTTCATGGTGTTTCATAAGCATACGATACGAAAGAAAATATCACGGATAAGTTGTCGATCGTTGTCGTCAGTCTTTGGCTTCAGCTGTGTCTTGCTAATTGAAAGCGCTATACAGTGTTTTTAGAACATCACATTCCAGCAAGGAACATACAAGTTTTGAATTTGAAGCAATTAGGATACAATCATTGTTTGTTTTGTTTATAACGTTATCACAACTTTATTTACGCGAGTGTAATGTATTGTTAACAGTGTCATTGATGTAAATGCTACTATTTGGTGTACACATCGAATAAGGTCTAATTAACTATGTTAACACTTTACTTACGGATGCTGTTCAAGAATGGGTTATCAGATAAAGCTCTTTGGGGTGCCGACATTGCCAAAGGCAGAACAACCACGAGTAAAAGTGCTAATTTCATGATGATACTCGGCTTAATAGCACAAATGCGAACTGACGGAAAAAGAAAAGTGTTGTAAATAAAAAAAGGAATATGGTAAAATGCATCAAGTTTTCTTGCAGCGTATAATGGTGTTTGTCGAAACGAATAAAAGTGTGAACTAGAATCTTAGTAAGAACATCAAACATATGTTACTATGACCATTGAATCAGTGTAGTCCAATCTGTAAACATTTAAAATCAACAAACAAATGGTCGTAAAGTTATATCAATTATACAGATGATAAACTATATCGGCAAATGTGTCAATATGAAATTTATGAAAAAGAGTTAATGAGAATAGCAATGCGTAAACAGCTTCAGCAAAGCAAGATGATTATTATTGTGTAATGTTAAAACCAATAAAAAAAACTGCAAATAACATTTGAAGCTGCACAGACTATTTCTTCTATATACCTAAGAGTAAATCATGCACTCTGCGGAATGCAGCAATCACAACAAATTGGTATGAATTTCTATTGTACGGAACAAAATCATTATTTAAAAAGTGTACTTCTTTTATCAAACAATTTTTCGAAAAGAAGAATCTTTATTGACATTAAACAAAAAAAAAAAAAAAAAAACGAATTCTAAAACGGAACGAAATTTGATATAACGATCAAATTATTTGAAACCAATGGGAATGAAACCAATAGAGAAACACAAAAAATAAATGTCGACAGGAAATGCTATTGTCTAAAGAAATTAATTTTAATTTTGAACATTTTGAAAATAATGTTAATAATAATGATAGACAATGTCAGAGAAATTCATTTTGACAAGATATATCGGTATGAAATAGCATTATATTCCATATAATCAATGCATAAGGAACTTACCAAAGTGGTCGGTAGTTGAGGACTGTGACGATCGATGGGCGGTAAGCTGTTTATATAGAGATAAATGCGTGTCTTTGCTATCTTAATTGCAAAACACATCCATGTGAAATGACATCTGTTCACGTTACATGATCTATTTTGCTTTTTATTTTTCTTATCATGAGCAGACACGTTTTCTCTGTTGGGTGTCTACAATATTCTCGAAAGGACTAATCGAAAAGAAAAGTTCTGAAAAATATGAGAATATGAAATATTCGCTTTACATTACGCATACCGATATGTATATATATTTGGTTACATTAAGAAGGTAACATTAAAACAACAATGAATCGATTGCCTAATCAGTTAAAAGAGTACCGCGATGCAGTTATGTGGTATCAGTTTAAGATATAGTTAAATCATTTTTGAAAATGTTATTGAAATACTTGATTTTTGTAGATTGCTATTCCCGCATAGGGTGTATTAAAATTATATCTAAACTCGTTGCTATAGTGATATTTTCAATGAAATGAAGTTCAAGGATTTCATGTTTTGCGATAAGATTACAGTTATTAAATATGTCAAGAACAGTAAAGCTGCATCTTGTAGTGCTCAGTTTTCATACTTGAAGATACTGAAAATGAAATGTTTAAATAGTGATTTAAAAGTTTCATTGGATTATGACCTACAACAATCAAGAAAATACCAACATATTACCATAATCCTAAAACATGGGCAAAATATGAACAAAAGAAAAAAATAACTTGGAGACTCCATTTAAAGTACGATGAGAATAAGACCAGGTAGTCAGGAAGAGTAAACGTCATGTCATAATTGTGTATCAGATACATAATTCAGTAATCTTTGACTGATTGGTTGTAGGATTAATTTTGTGAATATGTAACATCTGGTAGACTGGGTGTAATTTTGAATGCACACAGATATTTCGTAACTGTATTTACAGTGGGACAGCACTGATATCTACTTATCCCGGTTAACAAGTATTAGGCAAATTAATGGCAGTCTAACAAACTGAAGTCCAGGATAGAGCCCCATGGACAGAGACCTAGAGAGAGCCCTATGGACAGACCGGTTACACCATGATGAACAGTATGAGGAGTGGGTATTTTAGAGTATACCTTAGAAGTACAGTTTTTATATAGGGACAGTTCTGATACGAGACTCATCGCGAAGTACCAGTATGAGTATATGAACTCTGTATGTTGATGAGATGTTTCTTTTGTACATGTAACATTATCATTATTCAACATGTAATAAACATGGCTATTACCAACAAGTACGTGTGTTTAATCCTACTGTGTTACACTTTTGAGTTATACAGAACATACGATCCTTGGATCAACAATACATGCCGGTTGTTTTATCATCTTTTAAGAAATTTAATATTGTTTTTACTATTGCTCCCCGGATTAAAGCTACATTTGATATGAGTTTTAATCCACGGTTGCATGTGAATTTCTTGAATTTTCTAAGTCCTGAAATATAAGTTACCTTTCAAGGTTAGTTGACCTACTTTGATTTGGGTGTTAGCAATTTTTACAGAGAGAAACTGTATTGTTTTCAAACTACGTCTACCTCTTTGCTTCCATCACTAACAATAAGCTTTTCATGATATAAATGTTTTGTTTAAGTTAGGTAATTCATATAAAAATAAAATAAAATAAAATATGGAAAAAAAATTTCGTGATTAAAGCAAAGAAACATGTGAGAATATTACATTTATGGGAAAATAAAGGTTTTAATAATATACATGCATTCATTTATTACAATAATTATATAATTTACAAAAATCCGAAAAAAAAGTAAAAAAAAATCAATTAATATATAAAAATGATTCTTAGATAATTCATTCAAATTTGAAAGTACAGGTTTAACTAATATACTTGTATCACAATAGTTATATGATCATTTGAAAATATAAAAATACACACTTGTCATATACCATACTAATTATAACTCACACAAATTTGAAAATGTTTAACAAAACAATGAATAATTCTTAGTATAAAATCCCCATTCAATCAGCAAAGAAGCTATGTACAGACAGAAATATGATAATTCTGCAAAATGTCCTGCTGTTTTATACATTATCCTTTTAACAGCTTGGGAACTTTAGCGATAAATTTACTTAATTCTGAAAACTGTTCCAAATATCAGTTATCATTTTGCAATTATTAGCAAGTTCAAGTTAAGGATTGTATACATATCTTCATAAAAACCATGACATTATTGAACGAGTGTTATTCAAAAATACATTGCCATCCAATGTTGACATATACAACATATAAGGAGATGTATATCTAAATTCACCAATGGAATTAGATATTTATTTTTGACAAAAATTAGTTCTACGATACATGCTATAAAATTATCAAAAAGATATTATGCTCGATGAGATTATCTGCTGTGTACGCACACTAATATAATACCATTATTACACTATATCTAAACAGTTGGTGTTATTTTTTTGCAATCGGACATCTTAACATACATGTATTTACAAAAAGTATATTGACGCCCTACTTATGTTTTCTAATTCACTGTTTAACTCAGATATTTATTTGCAAGTAACCTTCATTATAATTTTGGCATACTTTCATTTATATTGTTTGGATTACATTCTTTGTAAGTTTACCTAGAATGTCTTTGTGACGTCGTTTGGCTTATTTAGAATAGTCAATGCTCGGTGAGTTTTAATCTGGTTGTAGTTGTTATTGTTTGTATGCTTGCAACTGTTTATGAGTTGATGTATGAACTAATGATTCGTGTCCTGATGAAAGTAACAGGATGACTTTTTTTTTAAATAAATGCAAATGGCATTCTTTGTGTGGCGATTTTCATTAAATAATGTCATATTTGTTATCCATCATTATTTTAATGTTACGGTGGGCATATATATATATATTTATATGGTCAAACGTTTCGAAAACTATCGATTATAAGCAGTAAGTGATCATCTGATTAATTATCAATAGTTAATTTACCTGTACAATTAACCTGTACACCATTTGTGCAAACTTTCATCACAAGTGAGCAACCTCTCTTTGCGAAGTCAGCTTTTCCTTCTAATGAAGAGAAGGCGTGTCAGTATTGAAAACTATTTTAATATTAATCGTTTATATTAGCTATGTACCAAGTTTATTTTTATTGTTTTTTGAGAGCAACATTACGATGCTTTCATGTTTCACTTTTTTTTTCAGTTGTTATGATTTTAGTAAATGCAATTCATGTATCTTATATGACATTCGATATATTTAGGGTTTTATCACGATTCCGATTATTGGGGTTGGTCGACTTGTCGGTAGGATAGGCCAAACCACTCTCGCACTTCTCCCACTATCGGATCTGAGCATACCTGTTCAATCTCAATGTTTAATTATTTAGATATCTTGCTTTTTAAATTTTGGTATTGATTTAAAGCTATAGCTGAGCTTATTGTACAGACGTATTTTATCATGTAAACAATAATCTAAACTATCTGTGACAATTAAATGAGACGTTCCATTATCATTATTATTGCAGGCTAGCCATTAATGATTATTCACATATTAATGTATTTAAAATGCAGTTTTGTCATAGAAATGTTGATGTTTTAAAGTAGTGTACCATTGGCCAGGGGGTTAAAAGTTTCATAGCTGAGCTTCGAACCCCAGACAAAACCGGGGCCGTTTTCAAAACTATAATGTATCATCAATTATTGACTTTTTGCTCATCAGTACGTAAGCAACCAACCTATAGATAGTCCGAGTTGTTTAGAAGCTTTCCAATACTGACTGCTCTGGCGCACGACGATGCATTTAAACAAAACACAGAACGTAACAGATATAGGAGGTTGGAATGAAGTAAGCACATATAAATCTCTGTGTTAGGGAACAATTTTCGCTACACAATTTATGTTTTCAGCAGTTTGATATCACCAAATTATGAGAGAGCAGTAAAAATGAAGACATATATGTATCTTATATGTGTATATAAAATATTAATGCGTAAACCGTTCACCATGTGTAGGGTATTTCACAGTTTGCCTATTCTAAATAAATAATGCCTTCTTTTGATAATTACCTAAATTTGTCATTGATGTACGTCCGATGGAAATCGTTATACAACATATTTTTAATTCTATAACCTGAAAACACCTCGGAGC